CATAGCAATACTCTGGAATTTTCTGCTGTCTCCAACAGGTGCATGGATAGAATACATTTACCTGAAGAGAATGGGGAATATTGTGAATATACCATCCATAATCCAGAAGGGAGCTTCCATCAGCTTCTACACGATGATGGCTGTTGTGACTAACAGCCCTTTCTCTCATCATCAAAGGTAGATTTTCAGACTAGGAATTGCTGGTCACGTACATTTAATAGACTTCTGGAATTTCATCATCATTTAGTATCAGCATGTCAGGTTGCAGAAGCTCTTATTTTTCATGCTGCTTCAGGAAGCATTTTCATGGGCAATTAAGATCTGCTTAAATCTCACTATACGAAGCATCAGCCTGAAGTATATGATCTCAAGTTACCTCTCATGAGGATGCAAGCACAACCTGAAATCAGCAAAATTCCTAAAAAATTGTTATTTGTGAAATTCCAAAGATGATTCTGTTAATCAGTATTTGTTTTCTCCTTGAAAATTCAGTAACGTGTACTGGAAACGTAACCAAGACAAAATATTGAGTTGGAAAATGTTTACAATTTGATCCAAAGAAGGAAGAACTGTGATTTTTTTTCAATCCTCCCCCCTGCAGTATGAGAATCTTCGACTGTGTGCATCTGAAACAGATCCTTTGCTGGAAATCTAAAACACCTGCAAATTTTACTCAAGTTACATGTTCTTACAGTGACTGGTTTCTAGTGCACTGCTCCATGTTTTGCAAGAGAAAAGCACAGTCTTAATTCTAAGCCACTACCTCTTCATCTTTTCTGTGGTTAATATATGCAGCACACCTCCAAAATAATACTAAAGTACTCAAGGTGTCAGAAGATATATTTGGTAAATTTGACAGGAAAAACTGACATGTAGCATTTTAACTATTGACAGTGATGGCACTTTGCACACGAATAAGCTTTAAACATTTAAATAAAATAAAATAAAGGTATTTCAACTTTTCTAGATTTTAAATGAAGGGATTGTTTTGCTTGCAGTCTTGCACTTCTACTTTAGGTGTTGAAGGAGTACTTTGACAGCCAAATGGTAAACTCAAGGAGGGAAGTCAGCTGCTCTAACCAATATTCAAGCAATATTAGTAAAACCCAGCTACAAATGAGTCACCAATTTCTGCAACTGTTCTTACCCTCCATTCTTGTTTTCAGCCGACTCAAAATGCAAGTTTTGGCAGCCCTACAACTTCATCTCATTTGGTTCTACTTTTTCGCAGTGGGAGTTGGAGCAATGACTGATAAATCAAGCTCATGCACTAACCACACTATCCACCTCTGTCCAAGTGCAACTTTCTACAGTTTGGAAACAAACGACGATTTCTGGGCACCATAACCAGCAACCTCTCACCTCCTGAATAATTAAACTGAATTTACTAAAATGGCAGTGGAATTTTGCAGATTGAAAACTCCATGGTAGCTGAATAATTTATTCTGTTCCAGGAGCTATCCTTGTCTCCATGTGGATATTGTTCTCTCATCATATCACCATCCACTCTGCAAGTGGAATCCTTGAAATTCAGAGTTTTCATTGTTCTGGTACTGCCTTGGGAGCTCTGGTTCTTGTCCTTGGAGCTGAGCATAAGCCAGTCAGGTCAGCATCAGCTGGTCAGGCCTTTGGGAATATTCACATGTGGAACTACAAATTATGCAAGACATCCAAGAAGCACGAGCATGACAGAAGTAGTCAAGGAGTAGAATAACATATATAGTATCGCGTGAATTTTATCAAAACCAAAAATATATACATACTTTCACAGAACCTGCAGCACTAATCTCAAATTATGCAATACCTCTCATTTTTTTAATTAGCATAGAAGTAATTTGTGTTTAACTACATATTATAAGTAAAAATATTGCAAGTGCAGAAAATTTTCACTTTTTTTAATTTTTCTATTATATAAAGAAATATAATTGAGCCCCATCAGTGTTTTTGAAGTCCTTGTGGAACTTCACCATACTAATTAGCATTTTTGATTTGCATGTGGTGATTTCCATCATATTCTAGGAATCCTCTCACAGATAGAGACACCTGCATCAAAATATTTTCTTTCATTTATTTATTTGTTTAAATAGTTGTTTCTTTGTTTGTAATGGAATTTTCTTGGTCTGTATTTACACTCTTGTTTTCTTTCATGTGTTTCTTTCTTCAGGAATGCCAGCCTATCAGTGTATTTATAATCAGGTATTGCAGTATTTTTGTAAAATAAATAAATTATGGATTTGTGCACCAATCCATCTGCAGAATAGACTCAGGGAACAGGACTTTTTAAACTGTCTATATAAAAGCCACAGTATAATATGCATTATAAGCAATGAAACAGAACACATTTTAGAAATTTTGCTAGATTTAGTAAGCAATTTTAACACATGAACCTAAAAAAAGTAGAAATTGTCTTTAGTAAATGCATATTTTTTATTATATTTCTAGTGAATTTTTCTTGCCTACCATTGTTTTGATTGTTTTATGGACTTGAACCAAGTAAATCCTTCTTGCAGTGTTTCTTACCATATATTTGATTATAGGAATAAATGATATATGAAAATCTTCTATTATTCAGAGTATTTATTAGCTATTATTCAGAGTATTTATTAGTATTTATAGCTTGAGTTTTGTCCTACCTATAAATCTAAGATATGTTACATCATCTAAATTTGAATAAGAGAATGTGAGAACATATGAAAATTATACTGAGTACAGTCAAGATTTTTTTCCATCAGTATTAGAAAATAATTAAATAAACTAAAAGGAGATTGAGAAATTACTGTGAAATTACCTGTAAATTACCTATTTATTTTACTGTAATTACCTATGTGAATTACTGTAAATTACCTATTTAATTTAAGGATCTTTGTGCTTATATTTATTATTATTTTCTTGTATTGCATCTGTTAGTACTCATTTATGTGCTTAGGGATATATGGAATTACTTATAGTGAAATATGTACTGGTGAATTAAAGTATTTGGGGTGAGTACAGAACTAATGAGTCACTAATAAAGTATTTACTATTGTATCTATGATTCATTGTCTCACGTTGTTTCACCATTTAAAATGTAAGTTCTTAAGGAAATATTTGTTACCAAGGTAAAATCAGAAATTAAATTTCTGAAGAGATGTACATTTTTGTTAGGAATAATGTAGTTTGACCATGGTATTACATGCTTAATATTTAAATAAAGAAGAAAATGCTCATAACTGGCATTAACTATGTCACAGAATGTACCTGCTTTACATATATATAAGCAATAGATATAATGCTATAAAAATAAGCATTTATATTTATGTTTTACATATATATAAATCTGGCTTTGTATCAGAAATTAGAAAACCATGGTTTATTAAAAAGAAATTGCATTTAATTAGCTGAGGAATTCCTTCCAAAAGCCATGATGTTCACTACTTTAATTAGCAGTAAACTGTTGTTTACTAGCAATACCATAACTTTTCCTTTTTTGATCATATTGTAGAAATAGATTTTTCAGAATTGAAATTGATAGTTAAGTGGTCTAAGTTGCTAATTTGTACCAATACAAAGAGGTTTATGTTGGCTTGGGTTAGAATTCAAGAACTTTAATATATGTTGCTATGATGAACCATTTTCACAGGAAACAAAATTCAGTCTACTTGGATTCTTACATAGGATCAGGATACTTTTCTTTCTATAGAAATCGTTATAAACAGCATGCTTCATTTGACTGCTTTACATCAAGTATTTTAAGGTGACATATTTCTAAATTGGGACATATTTCCTTTATTAAGAAAAGGAACATTTTTAATGAGTTAAAAGTTCAGCCACTTAAACATCAGCTGCCACTTGGTGAGTATTGAGTGTAATATGCAGTAAACTTGAGTGTGTGCATTATAGAATTGAACATAAAAATTTGCTTCAAGTGTAACAACATGCACTGAAATAGTTACTGGGTTTTCATTCCTTTTCCATCTTACAATAATTAAGGTAGGTTAACATCAGTATTTTCAATCATGTTTGGAGATTTTTTCCCTTAAACAAAGTGAGAGATGACAAAGTAAAACAAATTTCTCAAAGGTTGCACAGAAAAGCTCTGGCTGCCCCATCCCTGGAAATGTTTAAGGTCTTTTTGGATGGGACTCTGTGCAAACTGATCTAGTGGAAGGTGTCCCTGCCCAGGCAGGGGTTGGAATGAGATGAGCTTTAAGGTCCTTTCCAGCCTAAAGTATTGTATGATGCTTTAAGTAAAGAGCAGAATAAAATAACTTCTTTTCCCTCAGGCATAATATTTCCTTAAGTTTGAAGCATCAAGAAGAGGACTTTATTTTGTTTCGTTTTACCTAATATTTGTATAACCATTAAAAAAATGTGGGGAGGGATTGGGAGGGGCAAGGAGAGTCATTATGTATAAGTATTTTTAATAAAATTTATGTTCTAGATAATTGAAAGGCACCATTCATTTTTTTCATGCCTTTTCCATGGAATGAAAAGGAACTGAAATCCAGAAGTTCTAGTTGAATTTATGGTTCAAGATTTTTTAGCAGTTGTGAGATTCTGGGTTTTGCTCATTGTCCGAGGCATTACTTCTGTTCAGTTTCACAGCTGCAGTTGTAAGGACCAGAGATAATGCTGTGTGAATTCTAAGATATAGTGTTCTATCTATGCATTTTTCTTAGCAGCATCATAACACAGTGAGTGAGATCATAAAGAAGTTTTGAGTATGTTGTTCACTATTGCCGTTATAATTTGATACATTTTGTGGTTTTCCTTGACAATGTTCCTTTAAGCATGTACTTATTTCTTTTATTATACTGCCTAGAAAGAAAACATGTTTATTTATATTTTTTTAATTTATTCGGACAACTTAGAAGTTGCTTAGCTGTCAGTAATAACTTCACCATAGCTGAAGAGATGCTTTCAGTCATTCTTATCAGCAGTGTTTAATATATATAAATTCTCCATTGATATACATATATAAACATATAAAACCTTCTTTTTTCCTGAATCAATGTAAACAGAGCCCAGATGGCCGCATAGAAGTCAAAGGGCAGCATGGGAAGTCGTCACTGCATATTAAAGATGTGAAGTTGTCAGATTCAGGGAGATATGACTGTGAAGCGGCAAGTAGAATTGGTGGGCACCAAAAGAGCATGTACCTTGATATTGAATGTAAGTTCTAATATTTTGTTTTCTCTTTTAAATCTGTTTTAAAAGACAAAAAAAAAAAGTACATTCTTAATGGAAGGTCATTTTTTTCCTGGTCATTCATGATTAAACTTGCATAAATGAAGAAAGCATGTCCTGTAGCTCATTCCTCTGTGGAAGAATCCTGTCTTTTCTGAATTAACAAGGCTCTTGTTGGTGTGTTGGCGAATCCTTATGTAGGACAGGATTTCTTCTGAAATCATATTCCAGTGTTATTATCCACTAACTTAAGGCTAAGCTTAATAACTTCAAATCTCCAGGCAAGCTGAGAGTGCTGGGAATGAAAAGTGTTCAGCAGGATAAAGTAAGGACTGGTTTGCGCATCAGCTAAATCTTGAGCTTTACTTCCTAAGATTCAACAAAGATTCTTTTTTGTTTCTGAGTCCTCTGATTTACTAATCCCTAAAAGGTGTCTGGCCACTATTATAACCCCTCCTGGAGTTATCATGTTTGTAACAGTCTCTTTTAGAGATTGGTTTTATTCCATGCTCTTGCATTTTATCCAGGAGAAAAAGAAGATTATTTTTCTTAGAAGAATCTCATACTTGAGAAGCCAATCAGAGGATATAAATCTGAAATATAAAAAAATTCATTGGGTAATTACTTCTTCAATTTTTTCTTCAAATCCACAAAAAAATTAAAACAAGCAAAAAAATCCTTTTTTTAAAATTTCATTGTTGCTTCATTTATTAGAAATTTCTAGATACAATTATTTTTAATCTCCAGTAGAGTTTGCATGAGCCTGTTTGAACTGAGTCTTCAAACAGAAAAATTCTTTCCAGTGGGAAGATAAAAGCTGGGATAGGATTCTGTGGCACAGAAATAAAAGTAATGATTGCAGACCACAGAGTGATTTCCTGAGGAGTTCTGAAAGTGCTTTCACTATACAGTTGTGTGCTCTTTTTGGCAGGGAAGCATTGCATTGGGGCATAGAATATAAATCTGAAAGAAAAATGAGGAATGATCAAAAGAATTTTTTAGGTGTTAGGAATGGAGAGATTTGCCAAGCCAGAAAACCGAATAAATAAATTCTAATTTGCTATATTTGTTTTCTTTAATGCATGCAATGATAACTTTTTATATGTATATAAAGGGGAAAAAATAGATAAAATGCAAATTAGGTAAAGGTACTTGAAAATTTTGCCAACTCTCCACATAATGATATGAAATACATGGTTTCATTATTGTTGTGTTGCCTCTATGCTTTAGCATTAAATATTAATATATTTTGAATTCAGAGGAGAGAGATATGTTGCACTGCATGTTATGAAACATGGACACTTGAAATTTAAGGTTTTATTAGCAATACAGAATTCATACCAGCGGGCATAATAAAACCTCTGTATTGATACAATACATTATTATAACCAAAGCCACCTTTCAGGGTGAAAGTTTTAGATGATGTGGAAAGAATTTAAAAGTAGCAGTCTTTTTATGGTATGGCAGAATGAATTTTGAATATGTGTGGGAACAATCAAATACAGTATATGAGAAAATGGAATAACTAAAGTCTGAATTTATGCCTTGGTAGACACAGTTTTTGATACAGCATAAAATTTTCTACAGTTCTAAAATCCTCTAAGGAAACAGAGTTTATAAAGAACATAGAAATTTTATTCTACCATCAGATAAATCAAGCATTGTAATGAATATTTTTAATGTATAACTGAATATTTTTATTATGATATTTCTAAAACTGGAGTTTTAAATTTTAAGTACTCAACTGATAGCAAGCCCTAACTCAAATGTTTTTTTTTTCCAGCACAGGCATTGTTTGACTAACAGAAATACAATTTTCCTCAATTCGTTTAAGTAAAGTAGTTCTATGATGCAAAGCAAGTGTTTCTGGGGTGATACAATAAAGGTCTGTCTCATATTCTGATTAATGACTCAGAGAAATTTTGTGCTTTCCTTTGCAACTAACTTTGAACTGGTATATGAGCTTCAAATATAACTTCTTTGTCTTGCCTGGGAAAGAAAGCACTTGTTTAATGGTAAAGAATTCTCCTACTCTTAAAAATAATGTCCCCAGGAGGAAGAAATGCATCTTTGCAGCTTCATCTCTTACCAGTCTGCCCTCTGGCACCAAACAGAACAGCCCCTTAGAAGAACCTTTCAGCATCCTTGCCCCCATTTCCACCCAATGCTGGGTTGTCCTAAGCTCTGACCGTCCTTCCCCAGCATCTTCCTATATGAAGCTGTGTGTTGCTTATCTGTCATTCCAGTTATGGGACTTCAAAAGTTGCAGGCTTGGGAATTTCAGCAAAAGATTCAGGTTCAAAAACTAAACAACTAATTTGTATTTTTGTAGCGAACCATTAAAAAGGAGGGGATTCTGTGAAGTCAGTATCAAATAATTTTGATGTTCCTTGTAATATTTTCCAAGTGGCATTTCTTCAGCATAATAACTGCAGCTATAGACAGTGCTATCTGGGCTTTTACTTTTTTTTTTTTTTCCCAAATTTTCATTTTAAAAATTGCAATAAACCCTTCTAAATAGTTTTTCTCTTCCATTAGTTTGGTTTTGTTCTCCTACAAACAGTTTTTGAGAAGAATTTATTCAGGTATGGCTGAGTCTTGCAGTTAAGCCACTTTAACAGAAATTTGAATTATCTTTAATAATAACAAGTATATAAATTACTATTATTAAATTATTATTTATTATTATAAATAAACCATTATCTTTAATTAATAACTATTATAAATAAACTTTAAACTATAAAATATTTTAAAATTAAAAAATAAATAGATAAGCAGAACTTAATTCTTGATATTGTCCTCTAGTTTCTAGATGGAAGTAAACTATTCATCTATGCCTTTCTGTAATTTAGTAACAAAACTGCAGCATTTTTTCTTTATGTTTTATTGTATTTGAGAGTTTGTGTAGTCGGGAGAGGAAACTGCTTCCATCCCATCCTTAAATGCCACCTCAGACAAACAGGCTGAATGAAGGCACTGAGTGCTCTGGTGTCACTGTCTCATCCTTTTACTTCCTGACCCCTCTCAGAGATTCAAACTGGCAGTAGGATTGCACAGAATTTCCCTGCTTTATCCTTGTTCTCTGTTGGGGTTGCTCCTGGTGATAAGAACAGTTCTTTAGGACAGGAAGAGATTATCAGGTTTGATACCAACTGGGAACAGTTAACCTTGACTTTTATCTGAAGGAAATCCTGTGAAGACATGAATTGCAGGGAACCAGGGGGCATTTTTAAATATTTCTTCCCACCAAGTCATCTTTGTGTTTAGTTATGTTTAATTTTCCTTATATAAAGTCTGCAAGGTAAATCAAAATTAAATCAAAATAAAATACCATTTTCAAATATTATTTATTAATGGATTTCATTAACTGCAAAATTTCATTTAAAGTATGAAGCCTAGTGTGTATTGGATGAGAGTAATAATAAGCAATCAATTGAAAAGTGGAATATATTATGGTATGGTGGAATATGTGATATGTATTGGGTATTAAGATGTGTCTATAGTTATTATCTACATATTTATCATAGAGAAATAACTATTTTAAAAATTAAAAATATTAGAGAAATGCGCAAAGAAGGTAAAGCAGGTCATATGCTAAGATGAAGTTTTCAAGACAGCCTGAGGAATTTAAATATATTATACCTAGTGAATTATAAATTGATTTTGCTTATAGTATCAGGTGTCTCTCAAAGTTAGTTTTGCTATACAAATATTTACATTTTATTATGGTACTTTTTTGTCTTTGAAAGCATAATACAGACCTGGCTAAAAGAAAAATTGTGATGAGAGAAGACATTAGGTCTTGGGTTTTGCATATTTTTTCATTGCATAATTAACACTGAAGAAAAATCTTAATTTTTACATGTTCAGTGTGCTGGGTCATCTTTTATCACAATGTTATTATCAGTTAGGATGCCCCTACATCATTACTAAGTTGGAAAAGCTTTAAACAAGGAGCAATGAACAACACTTATGATCTTTGAAAAACTCTCTATGTGCCCTTACACTTTTCCCTTCTTTGTGTTCAAACTGTCATTAACCTGTCGGAAGTTTACACAGCCCTCACTTAATTTTGTCCTCCCAGGTGCACACATGTAAGATGCTGCTGTTTCTGACTGCTCTGTTTTACCAGGTGCAAATTCCTTTGGACAGTACTCCTTTTTCCAGAGAAAGCCATTCAGCCACATCCTTTGGAAAATTCTGTTTTCCTATACACTATCCAGGAAGCATTCTGACTAAGAGACCTTTTTAGCTGAAATTACCAGTTTTTACATCACTATTTTAGTTAAACGTCTCAATTTCAGGTTACAATTTCAATTACAGCTATTAGATAAGCTGGATGGTCCAAAAATGCTTATTTCCTCACAGTACTCAAAGATTAGTGTTTTGAGATAGAATAATCTATGACAAATATCTTACTTTGAGTAATATGACACATTTTTATATGAGATCAGCCATGTGAGTAGTTGATAAAAGTGATTTCTTAAAAATCAGTTTCTGAAAAATGCTTTTAAGTATTTTTTAGTGTATTCCAGGAATATGAATATTTTCTTAATATTGCTTTTCGTTCAAACATGATTTTGGAGTAATATTCCATATTAGTTAAATATCACCTTTGGGTGGTAAAAACAAAAATAATCGTGCAACATGTGCAGTATTTGTTATACTATGGTATTGCTTCTCAATAACAATCTTTTCCTTTATGTTTTGATTTATTTTTCCCCTGCCACAATTTGAAACCAACTTTATTACTGTTGCAGTATCGAACTTGGTTTCATTAACTTATTATTCTTCTGTTTTGTTGTGTGTTGACTGTATTGCACTGCAGTTGAGTGGGATGCTTCGTATTAATGCAATTTAATTTTATATCTTTGCAAAAAAAATACACAGCATTACTTAAAAGTGGATTCAAGAGATTGAGCTGCAAATTCTATTTACTTTCAAGGAAGAAAGGTTTTCAGTTGGTGAAAATGCTACTACTGTGT